AAGTCAGCCTGGGGCCGATGCAGCCCAAGAAAAAGATGCAGATGAATTACTGCCACCTGAAACACTCTGAGGATCTTTAGGCTTTGGGATGTAAGCATGAGTGGAGCCTCATCTGCTAGTCTACATCTGAAGAGCTTCAGAAGACTTCAATTCAACTTGAGATGTTCCAGACTTAGCCCTGAAAAAACACACATTTTACAGCCAGTGCAAACCATTTTCACTCAATATTTGCACTTGCCTCCCTGTATTGTCTCTGTGTAAAGCAAATGCAAGTGTGCCAAGAAACCTCTTCTTTGAATTTTTCAAACTGTCTCCTATTTCTTGGAAATGCTCTACATCCTCTGCATTTACCATGGCCTTTGGGTGGTTGGGGCATTGCCAAAGTACCCTCTACACCTCCCTTTTTTTTTTCAAGGGAATGGGCGATTTATTTATTTATTTATTGCTTTGATTCCTCCCTGTCTTGTGCCATGGTTGAAAAATTATTTTTAGACTGGGGTTGCACCCTGTGACTGTGGCTGGCATTTATTATTGATACCTCAAATGTGCTGCACGTCCCATTTTTCTGTAGCCTGCCCTACTTGCCCAAATCCTCAAGGGCAGCGGCGAGATTTGGAGTTGGGGAGACTGACTATTTATAGCGAGGAGCTTCATTTGTCCTGAAGTATCTCTGGGAAAATGTAGAATTCGACGTGGACGCTCCCGCCAGGTTCTGCTGTTATTTAGAAGTAAACGTTTACCCCTATTCCCTTTTATGTGCCTTTGAAAACATTTGCCAGCATCGTAATTTCGGTAGCGTTTGAATTTCAAGTTGGATAATTAACTGTTTCTAAGCAAATAATACTATAATAATATCATTTTCTAATTAAAGATTGCTTCTAAATAATTGCAGATACAGTAAATTAATAGAAGCTTTCATGGAGCTTATTTAACTTTTTATTTTATTTTTAAAGGAGTCTAAAGAGTCAATTAATTAGTGTCTGTTTTGTAACTGTCAAAACAGTTTTGTTTTTTTCATTTTCTGACACTTTGTGATACTTTGAGATAGAATTTTTCTTTTGCGAACTTCCCACAACAATATATATACAGTATAATGAGTCTTTATCAATCACATATACATGCACAGTGAAATTATTTTCTTTGCATACCCCAGCATGTCAGGAAGCTGTCAGCATGGTTAGGAATGATACAGTGCACCTGGAGCAGAGAGGGTTAAGGGCCTTGCTCAAGGGCCCAACAGTGGAAGCTTGGGTGTGCTGTGGCTTGAACCCCTGACCTTCTGATCAGTAACCCAGAGCCTTAACTGCCAAGTTGCCACTACCACCATTTTAATGAATAAAAAAGTTGTGATCGTTGGAAAATCGCTGTGATATAAGAGGAATACACTTCGAGACATACTGAAAATAAACAGCTTTGGAGTGGCAACAGTAACTCTGCTTTGTGTCGAGTGTATTAGATTTATGCAAATAAGTTCCTTAGTTAATACACAACTAGAAAGTGTTCTGCAGTTGTTTCTTTCTAAGCAGATGCTTAGAAATATTTCCCTACCTGAAAGGTATCCAAGAAGCACCCATTAATGCACCATTATTTATCCAAAAACCCTTGAAGAAACACTAAAAGGTTCTTTATTTCTGATGAAGGCTGTAAAGTGAACAAACATTCGAACTTGGTGAAAAGTCAAAGTTTTTAATCCGATAAAAGACATAATAAAGCACAGGTTTATTGGATTCAGAGGCAGACTGGAGCCTGAGCACACACACACAACCATTAAGCTGGAATTATGACTAATTTGTGAACATTTGGTACGCTTTTTGGCTGAGGTAGCCTCTTTTTTTTTCTTGTACTCCTCTTCACATTCTATGATTGCACAGCTCTCTTGGCATAACTGTATATGTGATGATAGGACCATTTGCTGTAGTGTCTGTTTTAACCAATTGAGGCAGAGGAATCTGATGTGTTCATGGGCCAAAATTGCATAATATATTATGTATAGGTGTGAAAACTGCCTACACCCCTTATGCCAGATCTGCAAAGGGCAAAGGATTAGGTTTTCTCATAATAACTTTGAGCAGGAGAGAACCTAAGAGTTGTTTAGTGGTCAAACCACACACCAGTAGTTTACATTTACGGCATTTTGGCAGATGCATTTATCCAGTGTGACTTACATTTCTCTTATTTATAAAACTGAACAATTGAGTGTTAAGGGCCTTGCCCAAGGGCCCAACAGTGGTAGCTTGGCGTTGCTGGGGCTTGAACTCCTGATCAGTAACCCAGAGCGTTTAACCACTGAACCATCACTGCCCCGTGACAGTGCTTTTGCAAGAATGCAACAAGTTGTTTTTTGTTTAGTTTTTTGTAAAACACTTATGAATTGGATTGAATTGGATTGTTCCTCACTGGCACATTTTGAATACAATTTCAGAATGAATAAATATAAATGCAAAACTTGCAAAGCTTTGATTTGATTTGATTTTCTATCCCTTTTCAAGTGTAGCCGAGATCGTGCTCTGGTTTTAGATACTCTATTGTAACCAATTCTCCAATACTATCAGGCAGAATGGCTTAGACTCAGTCTAGTGCATTTATTGGCTTATTTGTAGTTGTTTGTATTGCACCATTGTCCTGGAATCCTGAAATTTTTCATAACTCCTTATATATGCAGATGAACTGTACACGTCAATAAATCTTTGTCGAACCAAGCAAAACAAAGAAACACAACCATCGGTCATAAGGGGGAAAAAAACAGCAGAAAAGTTTTCAGCACATGACTGGATTTTACAAATTTGAAGTAAATCTGTACAACAGTCATCCAATTGTGCATTGTTGTGTGTTCTGAAAAGAAGAAGAAGAAGAAGAAGAAGAAGAAGAAGAAGAAGAAGAAGAAGAAGAAGAAAAAAACAGGAATAATGCTATTGTCTTTGTAACAAATTCAAACCCAGGGCAATGTGTATCCTGGTATCCTGGTATCCAGTTTGTTTGCAATCACATAACAGTACCTCGGAAGATAGGAGAACTTTTCTGGAGCTTGTAGGGATGAGTACACACCATTATGTACTAATGAAAATTTATAAAATGAAATAAACTATCTATCTCGTTTGACCTTAAAATGTGTGCTAAAAGCTTGACGTGTGTCTTCTTCAAAGGGTGAGCAGTTAAATGTATGAGGTGGGGTTTTTTTTCCACAGTGTAGAATTTTAAAAACAGTGATAGGGTGCCAATACTTTCATCTAAAAACCAAGATACAGAGAAAGTTGCACACTTACTTTGACTATATTTGAAAAGCACTAGACCCGATATAAGGCTTCATTTTGTTATGCTCTAGGGAATGAGCGAACGCAGTTTATAGGAAATCATTTAGGATTCACTTGAAGATGGCAGATTTTTCGTGGGTTATGGATAAGAGATACAAAATTGAGCGTTTTAAAAACATCTGTAATATTTCGCGTTTTATTAACTTCCATTATTTCATTTTAGGTAAGTTTTCATGCACTAATTCAAATTTGCATAAACGAAATGAACAGCAAGAAAAAAAAAACTAAAATAGCAAATACTGTCCAGTATTTATGTCTTTCATAAGAATAGGCTTGCCTGGACAGACTTGCTTATGAAGAGAAAGTGGAGAGAGATGATGGATGAAAGAGGACAGCGTGCAGCCGCATATGAGATGGGGTTTGTACAGGGATCATCATACTGTTAGCTGCCTGTCTACCCTTCATTACACCTCTGACACACAAACACACACTTCCATATTCATTCAATCTCAGTGTATCATAATATAATGCAAAGCTAAAAGAAAATTAAAAAAAAGAAACAGCCTGGTTTCAGTTCGATTCAAAACACAGACACAGGCATGCAATCTGAAAAAATGATAAGGCCGTGTATTCATCGTAGAGGCAGTCTGCCTTTCATTTTCTCTCCATTTTGTTCTCTTTTTTGTCTGTGGATCCTAGCAGGCCTGATGGTAGCCCTGATGCATGATGTATTTTAATAATTCTAAGAAGTGAGGGTGATGTTGGAGTTCACACAAGAAACATGAGATGCAACCAACCTTGAGTGGTCGGGGCCTCTAGGATTAAATTCATGATGTGAATCTACAGCTGCTCCAACTAGGGGAAAATAAAAAGAAGCAAAGCTGCTATAACACAAAACAGAAAGTAATCACTGAATTGAGCAACGTCAACGCTTAGGGACAGTAACTAAAGCACAGAAACTAAATCACAGATTATAAACAGAGAGAGAAGGAATTCCCAAAAATGGGAATTGCAACAATTTCTAATAAAGGCCCATTGGGGCAGGAATCATTCTGCCTCATGCTCGGGGGAAGAAGCAACAACATACCAATGCGAATGACAGGGTTGAGTTTTTCGGCTAAATTGGGTTAGTTTAAAAATACTTAAATAGAGGTCGACTAATAGTGGATTTTACAGATACAGATAACTAAGTAGGGTTGTACCTGCCGATAAACGATTTATCTTTTAAAATTGATACTGAATGAAAACATAACATTCAAAGTAAAATATTGCAGAACTTTATTTCAAAAATAAACCGTACTGAAAATGTACTGTACTTCCATCCATTTTCTATACCACTTATCCTACTAGGTTGCGGCGAACCTGGTGCCTATCCCAGGGAGCATCGGGCCCAAAGTCGGGTGCCAGTCCATTGCAGGACACTTTCACGTACACATCACACACTACGAACACTTTGGACATGCCAGTCAGCCTACCATGCAGGTCTTTGGTCTGGGGGTGGAAACCAGAGTACATGAAGGAAACCCCCACAGCATTGCAAGAACATGCGAGAACACACACAGGGCGGCATCAGGAATCAAACCCCCATTACTGGATGTGTGAAGCGAACGTGTTAACCACTAAGCCACAGAGTGCCCAATGTACTCTACTTTTAAAAATGAAATAAATACATATTCTACATATATACTATAAATATTAAATTAAATAAAAGATATACATCCCAACTGAACCAAAAAGTAACATTCAGTAGCTGTGCTGGCTTACTGGTTAAGGCTCTTGATTACTGATCAGAGAGTCAGGGTTCAAGCCCTAGCACTGCCAAGCTGCTACTAATGGGCACTTAACCTTCTCTGCTCCATCGGTACTGTATCATGGCTGAGCCTGCGTTCAGACCCCAATTTCCTGGCATGCTGGGGTATGCGAAGAATCAGCATCACTGTGCTGTAATGTATATGTGACCAATAAAAGACTCGTTATCATTAACTAATAAAATTACAGACTTTCAAAGTGAATGAAAAAAAAACCACTTCAAATAACAAAAAAAAATTGCCAATGATTTTTTTTTTTATTTCGCCACTAGAGGCCACTTTCGTACCGTATAATGACCGCAGAAGGGTCCTTCTCAGGCAAAACCGATCAATCGGTCGACCTCTAGCCTCCAAGAGCTTGTTTGAAAGCAAATGGAATTCTACAAACAAAGGCAAAGTGTATGTGTGAACTTATGACATTGATGTACAGAACAGTTTTGATTGTAAGATATATTACAAAAATTGGGAGAGAGAAAATGGGTTTATGGAGTGTATAATGACCATACACCAGAAATGCATGCACATTACCATTACCTTGTTTACCAAAAACTTGTGTCAAAATACACGTGTTTAATTCTTTGATGTTATTTATTGCACTAATAAATATGATCAGAATATTATATCAGCGCCAATTGCAGAACAATGGTTTGCCAGTGTAGTTATAGATGATCTTGTGGAATGATAATCTTGAGTGATTGATTGAGTCATTGAACCAGGGAACCCATCCTCTTCTGGGTGACACTTGGATACTGTGGTTATAAATCGTTACAGTAGGTATTGTATGTCTAGAAGAGTAAAGTCAAAAAGTATTTCAATGTTATATTTGGATCCCTCAAACAGATCATTTGCCTCATGTATTCTTGATTAATACATATTATCTCACAGAATTAATTTTTTTAACTGAAATTGTTGAAATCATGATTTAAACCATGTTAAAAATCCTTTGTTTGCTTTGTGTTTCTATGTGCAGCTGAAACAGCATGAGAACGCCTCAACTCCTGTATTTTAATAAGTGACACAACATGATCTGGAGCGTGTCCAGTAGCCCCAGCACAGGAGGTCACTTCAAACTCATTGTCATGGCTCCCAGCCAGCATTTTGAGTCATCAGGAAAGTGTTTTTCATGCGCATGTTCCACTCAGGAACATAAAAACAAAGCAGGCAGCAATTTCTCTTCCCTTGTTGTTAAAGCGTCCAGAGCTTTTTTGGTTTTGTTGTTGATTGCACAGTTGCTTCGTCAAAGATATAATGAATTGAATATCAGGCCAGTTTGGTAATTAAAGGAAATCTCCATCTTTGAACACATTACATACGTTGATTTTGAAATATTTGTTCAGTGATTGTTGGCTGGTGCTGGATTTTTATTATACATTTGAAAAGTCCGAGGTTGTTGATGTGACAGTGAAAAAGAGTAAGAGCTTCTTTTTCCACTCACCATTTTCCAGCAATGTTCTATTAATGTAGGCGTAGTGGAGACAACAAATAGACGGCTACCGAGCGAGCTACAAAATGACAAGTGCTATGGTGTTGATGTCAGTATTAGCATGAAAGTTGAAGTTTTGGAAGCTTAGGAGTTGAGAGATCCAGACAGACTAAAGGACTAAAGTGGCCCTGCATCACTCTTTAGGAAGGGACAAAGCAAGAGCTAAATCCTACTGGCACCACTATCAGCAGGTAGTTGAACTGCTTTGTGGATGTGTGACTGACAAATGGACAGTCACAAATGAAACAAATGAAATTTGTTACAAAATAATTCTTGTGTGGGCGCACGGTGGATTAGTATTTAGCACGTTTGCCTCACACCTCCAGGGTTGAGGGTTTGATCCCCTCCATGGCCCTGTGTGTGCGGAGTTTGCATGTTCTCCCCATGCTGCGGGGGTTTCCTCCGGGTACTCCGGTTTCCTCTCCCAGTCCAAAGACATGCATGGTAGGCTGATTGGCGTGTCTAAAGTGTCCATAGTGTATGAATGGGTGTGAGAGTGTGTATGTGATTGTGCTCTGTGACGGATTGACACCCTGTCCAGGGTGTACTCCGCCTTGTGCCTAGTGCTCCCTGGGATAGGCTCCTGGACTCCCTGTGACCCTGAAAAGGATAAAGCGGTATAGAGGATGGATGGAAGGATGGATAATTCTTGGGTGAAATTGAAGATCACATGTCACTTATAAACATTCTAGTCATTCAGAACATAACCGTACAGTAGTTAGGTAGTAGTTGTGCATAATTTTGACTTAGTTAATAGTGTACTACTGTAATTCTACTTAGTAATTAACCAGTGTTCCTTAGTCGTTAGTTATAACATAAGTGTTAAAGTCACTTAAGAGTAAAGTCACAGAAGAGTAAAGTCTTATAGGCAAATCTGTGGCATGTCTATAAACACATCCTCTAAAGTACCTCAAAATTTTTATATATTTATACAACATTAACCCTGGTAAAAATTGTGTAAAGTGGCTTGCTTCATTTGTTCGACTTTCCCACACCACACAAGCTTCGGTTTCTGCTCTTTAAAGTATGCCCCAGGATGCCTTTAATTGGTGCAATGCTTATGTCGAGGGTGTGTTTAAACAGGCTGACATGCATTAGGAAAATAACCCGATGTCCTCTCCGCGGGGAGACGAGTGGTGATGTGGTGCGTAGGTGAGCGTGTTATATAATTAAAATGTACCGACGACCTCTGATCCCACAGCAGGAGGAGAAAAAAGTCATTAAAAAGTGTCCTTCTGTCTGTAGCTTAGACTACCAGTATACAGATAATTTTTTTTTTTATCCCTACAAACTACAATATTAATTCTTAAATCTCACTTATCACATTTTGTATGCGTGAGAAAAACAGAAGGCACCCCTATGTGATAGAGGTAAATGAATAATACAATAATAATACAAAGGAAGGAATGCCTAATCTCTACAACAACAACAACAACAACACAATCTGACTATTCGAAATTTGTAGATATTTATAACTCATTTTAAACAATTGGTTATAATAATGTGGCTTGAATAGTAAACGTTAAGACAACTCAAAGGTTTATATTCATGTATTATTGTGTAGGTCCCCTTATGCCACCAAAACAGCTCTGACCTGTCGAGGTATGGACTCCACAAGACCTTTGACGGTGTGCTTTGGTTTCTGGCAAAAAAAGATGTTTAAGTCCTGTAAGGTGTAAGATAGGGCCTCCATGGATCTGATTCGTTTGTCCAGCACATCCCAGAGATGCTTGATAGGATTGAGATCTGGGGAATTTGCAGGCCAAGTCAATACCTTGAACTCTTTTTGTATCATGTTCAACAAACCATTCCTGGACAATTTTTGCAGTGTGGCAGGGAGCATTATCCTGATGAAAGAAGCCACTTTGTGTTCTTACACCATTTTAGCATGAACTTTTTCAGCAATTTGTGCTCTTCTGTGGGATCGGAGCAGACGGGCTTGCCTTCGCTCCCCATGCGCAGCGCATCAATGAGCCTTGGGCACCCATAACACTGTTGCTGTTGTCCTTCCTGAGAAGTTGCTTATGAAAATCCTTACTTTCCCATTTTCCCTGCTTCCAACACATCAACTTTGTGACCTGAATGTTCACTTCCTGCCTAATAAATCTCACCCCCTTCACAGGTGCCATTGTATTCACTTCACCTTTCAGTGATTTTGAATGTTATGGCTGATCAGTGTGCATCTTTAAAGTGCATGTATCATGCTTTTTCAAATATTGCCTTTCATGTAGTGTATTATAGAGCTGTTTGTGAATGTAAGAAGTCTGCAAAGTTTCACAAATCCAAAAAGTGCACGACAAACAGAGTTATTGACTCCCAAAAGAAAGAACTGATTTTGATGAGCTGAAATGAGTCATCAGTAATTCCAGATTTACTTCCTGTACAAATTGATGTAGGTTTGTAACGAAAAAGAAAAAAACAAAAAACAGTCTCTGGTCTTCATTAGCAACGTGTACTTTGACCCACCCTCAAACACTACAGTTGTGGTTGCATCCTGAAAGAGTTAGATTTGTGTCTAGACATTGTTTTCTGCGCTGCAAAAGCAAAACCACTTTGCACGGCCTCCCAAAGGATGAGGATGTAAAGCACCAATGGTTAGAATTCATTTTAAAATGATACCACAGCAGTTCAACTCCCGACCTTCATTTCTGTCCCCGTCATTTCACTGATGGCTGCTTCTCAAATCTAGCTGAAGTCAACAAGTCAAGATTTGTGAAATAATTATCCATTAAAGGTGGGGCTGTACCCACTTTATTTGGACCATCTTGCACCTCCGGATCACGGCCTGTAAGTATGATTAAATATTTATGTATATATTTTCTATCGAGTGTTCCAAATGTGTAGATTTGTGTTGTATACATGTACAGCCAGCGCAGTGCTCTGCTAACCAACTAACTCACATTATGGCCAAACTACATATAAACTTACCACTAAGAAACCTCCTGTTCTTGTCGTGATTGCGATGGTGGCTCGGGTTGATCTGCTGATGTATCACTATCGGACTCGGGCTCAAATTGCTAAGGTAAAACCAAAATTTAGATATGGCAATGGGTGTTTCCCATTAGACCAAACAAAGCAGACTGGAACATCTGGCCAATCAGAGCAGAGTAGGCTCTCTGAAAGGAGGAGTTTATAGTGAAAAGATTCTTGAGCGAGTCATTTGTGACAAAAAAAAAAGACATGATGTAAATTATGAGAAACTTAAAGTGTTTTTTGACCTTGAATGCATGTAAACCGATTGTATGAGACCTCTAAAACAAAATTTTATATGGAACATATATGGCATAATAAGTTCACTTTAATCTTTCTAACATGGAAAGTAATAACCAACATTACAGTGATAATATTGTGCAAATTGTCTCTATTGGATTATCAGATAATTCTAAACATTTCATTCACATTTCATAAGCATGACGAAATAAGTTGAAATTCAGGACATCAGGTTTAAAAGACAGGATTTACTTTCGCAGAGCCGGTTATAACATATTGATGAGTTTGTACCTTCTTTTCAGAGCTTGTCAACTCACAT